ACAACCCATTCAAGCCGTCTCCAACCATTATTAGTCTCAAAGTTGGTTCCTCGTCATCGAATAATATATGCTTATAAACTGAACTCACTGCTAAGTAGTAGTTTTCCTTTTTAATATTTCCCCACAAAAATACGTGTCGTAGAATAATGGAATAATACTACTGTTACACAAGCTGTGAAACACTCGATAATTGTAACTGGGTGCTCAAATAAGACTATAACTCAACTTTAGCAATTATTTGTAAGCCTCATAGAGTAATAGATTGAATGCAGCGGTCATTATCATCTCGGCTCATCTCTACAAGCTAAGCACTACCGTGCTTAGTGATAGCCTATTCCCAAGTACTCTTAAAATGTTTTTCTGTAGTACTAACGCCACTGCGAAAATTCTACTCATTTTTTGAATAGCGTGGGGAAAAAAAGGAAGACGAACATTTGGGCTCTTTAGCTAGTTCCCAGTTCTCAACTTTAGCGACACCTTTAAATAATATTTGGAGTCTTACAAGCTGTGAAACATTCGATACTGGCAATTAGGTGCTCAAATAAGGCTACGACTCAACTTTTACATTTATTTTTAAGCATCGTAGACTAATAGATTGAATGCGGCAGCCATTCTTTCTCGGCCCATCCCTATATACTAAGAACTACCGTGCTTATTGACTAGATATTTTCAAACTATCATCGTTAAAGTACCGTTTGGATGCCAAGTTTTATTCCTCTGTGTCTTGATAAATGTCCAGAACTAACACATGTTAAGGAAAGTAAAACCCTTGTTTTTCTGGGTTATGCCATTAAGCTTTCCTAAGTCCATTTCTGCGTATTTCTCTATTTTTCTTCTTCTTCTAAGACTTAATTAGATTGTAAAGTTATATAATATATACTTGAACAGCAAAGTAAGTAGATTTAAACTTGATTCATGAAAACTCGACTTTTTTTTTTAACTAGACACTCGTCCCTATGGATTAAGTATACGTCAACTGAAATACAATGGATTTTTAACTTTAAACGTTTGTAACACTTGTTGAGAAGACAGCCGAACATGCTAATACGAGTTAGTACAGTATACTCGTATACATTAGTGTAGATGTATCAGCTAAATTGCTAAACAATCACTTCTTTGTGTCCCCCGGGGGACAGCTAAAATCGGCGGTTTGATTCCCCTCGGTGGACATAGCAGATAGCCCGATGTGGCTTTGCTATAAGAAAACACACACACATTTCTTTGTATGTGTTGTAAAGTATACTGGAATGGTGACGTAGATTTAAATTCACTTAAACTTTTGGTGTATAAACTTATAAGGATGCAAAGGACTATATTTAGTTTGAAATGATTACTTTTTCTCTATTTTACGGCATGTTTCTAGATAGCGAAATAACCTTCTATTGCCTTGCTCGTTTATTTTATTTTTTGAGGTGGGTGTTTCAGTCCTTTAGTTGGACTTCTTTAGAAGGAAAATAGCAAACGTAAGGACACATATTTTTTTTTTTTCAAAATTGTATCGGGTTTCTAGATAGCGGAATAACCTTCTATTGCCTTGCTCGTTTATTTTATTTTTTGAGGTGGGTGGGTCAGTCCTTTAGTTGGACTTCTTTAGAAGGAAAATAGCAAACGTAAGGACACATATTTTTTTTTTTCAAAATGTATCGGGTTAAGGCCAGTATAACAAAACGAATCGATCTGGGTTCCTTAATTATTACTATTTTAATTGCCTTGCAGTTTAATCCTGTACATACTTATCGAAAATCATGTTCTTTACATAAGTAGTTGAAGCATGTAAGATAAAAGTTAAAATAATGCATTCATTTAAAAACCTGATACTTGTAGCAACCGGGCGATCAGAAAATTAACTTTCGTGTAACAAAGATTGTTTAGTACCAGTTTGTCAAAATATTACGTTTCACATAATTATAAGAACTTACAAGTGAATTAAACTAATCAGAAAGCAAAGTAAAATGTATAATAATATGTCAACCATTCTATATCTGCTATATCCAATGCCGATGAGGCCTTTTGGTAAATACTAGGGCTCATCAGGCAGGCTGCGATACGACAGCCACAATAATGGTTAAACTAGTGGTAAAAAAGTTTTCAATCATCTACAAGATGACGCCACTTACCACAGTATGATAGATCTCCTTGCCATGTTCCATCTGGCAAACATACACGAGTAGATTCACTGTAAGTAATGTTATTAAATTCACTTAGAATAAAGCTTTCATTGTATTTCACAAGTGATAAGTTTCAGTAACTTAATAAAAATTGTAAGTATATTTTTAATTACTCAGAGAATATCATCCATTTTACGAAATCATGTTGCCTAATTAATATTAAACTTCGTTGTTTGAACTACATTTAATTAAAAAAGAAAATGTATATTTAGAACGTTGTGAAAATAAAAAAAATAAAAGCTAATTTAGTTTTAATCCTACTTAATTATGGTAAAAATTATAAAGTTCAGGGTAACAATAAAACGTATTAAATTGTTTCAGTTTTTAACACCACTTCGTTATGATAGAAGTTGCAACATAATGAATAATACAAAGCTACATTAGTCATAACTTTTCTTAGTTATAGTGGTTGTAACGAAATTTATGGTAAAAACTGCTCGTTATTTCATGACGGATGTTTCTGCCAGACTCCATATACAGATATCTCTAGATTTTATTACATTAATAATTAATTTTAACTCCATAAGTCACGTAAGAGGTACGTACATGTATATATTCATGATTGTTTAGGAATAGGGAATGTAAAAGAAGTGAGAATTATGTATAAGTTAGGACAAGTTCGTTGTAATTACTTCTGGGTGGGCTGCAAGATGTCTTAAACTAAAAATGTTTATAAATTGTATTAAAGCCTCTGGCAAACATCCAGTAGCGGTATAGTTTTAATCTATGCTAAAGTACAGAATATACATTTATTTATATTTAATCAGTCTTAATTGTTACTTAAACTAAACAGCTTGGCGACTAAGATACAGGGTAAATATCAATTTGCACGAGAATTTAGTTGACATTTACAGCCACATATTATCGTGGATTTTAATATATAGTGTATAGCAATGTCATTATGATATAGCACGGTATATGTAGCCTACAGACATATCTGAATATTGTTCAAGTGAAAATAAACGACCATCTAAAACTGCTCAACCCTAACTAATGAAACTATTTACCTAAGGAATTATATTTAGATAGAGTAAGCCTTGGTTCATGACCTGCGAGGTCGTAATGACAAAAAAACACAGGTTTTCAACTACCCGGATAAACGGTCACAGCCACTAGGCCTAATTGACGCGTGAATCCGCTTTTTCTCTTACTGTTGTGCATCGTCTGTGTAGGAAAAACGGCTCGGAAAAGAAGCTTATAAATAGGAAAAGTATAATACTTATTTAAAAATTAATTCCCACAAAATACTACTTAGAAGGGCTCCGCTTATTTATTTTGATGCATCACAAATTTTCATGGAAAAATTACGTAACATCTTAATATTATTACTTACTGAAACAGTGAAGACCACGAGTGCGAAACAAACCCCATCTATTTGTTTTTAATACTCATTTAGTTTTATTCATTTTGAAATGCAAGCAGAATAAAAAGCAACAGTGAGACCAACTTCCCACATAGAATAAAGTAAAAAAAGTGTTGGTAGAGTATTCTATAGTATTAATAGTTCACCTTTATTCAGAACGAGCTGCGTCCTAAGGAGAATAATATCCTTACAAATTCGCGAACATAATTTGTTCGACAGTTATTGGCTATAAAAGCTACAGTTTAAAGCTTGCAGAGCATTAGAGACCAATTGGTCTAAGAGTTTTTATAAAAATCATGTAAACTGTGAATTTTTTCTCAATTTCTTCTTAATTAGTCTATTTTTTCATATATAAGTAGCGTTTCCGAGAAATCTTTGTTTTTCCTCGTCCAGCCTAACTGACGAGTTATGGTATTAATTAGAGGCCTCTTGGGTAATGGCTTTTCAGAGACGAAAGACATACTTGAAATGCTATTTTTGAAAGCAGTTTACGTGAGTTTTATCACATATATTTTGATTACTGGCTATATTAAAAACCTTATTTCAAACCATCGTGGTTCATAATAGGGATCGCCTATTTGACTTTCTATATTACTGTTTAATACTGTTCCGCCAGCTAACAGCAAAAATGTCTGTGGGTATTGTAATAAAACATGAGCAATATTACTAAACGCATCATTGCACATTGTGTAGGTAATTTCAAATTTATTTGACTACTTGGCAAATAACAGCGGCTTTATAACCGTTGACACTCCATCGTTTTAATGTAGTCTGTGGTTTATATGGAACCTCATAATCTACTACATGCATATGTATATAGCTGCATGCAGACCGTGAATGTAACTTAATGTTTATATGGCAGACATGACACATGGACCATACCAATTATTAACTAATTATTGCAACTGTATTGATGCCGCGTTTCATTTGTTTATGTATAGAGTACCTGCCCTTTCGGACACGACACTGCTGACAGGATCACAGTGCAAAAGTATTAAATTACTCAGTTTCTCTGTACCTTAATATGAGTTTTATACGTATAGTTTGTCATTATACATGACTAATTTGAATTTTACTTGGAGAATCACCTGGCAAAGACAGATCACATGCTACAGTTTTCCGTCACTCTCTGCTACGTTTTCTTAACCTAACCTGTCAGTGGGCAACCGTAGGAATTGTGATTTGAAAACCTGTACAGGTGCGAAAAAGAAAACGAAGAAGCAGTAGGGTCAAGAAAACTCAGGCGCATTTATTATTATTATTTTAACTAGATACGATTTTAACAAATTTTGTCTATGGTTTTAAAACGCAATTCAATAAACATCAGATATTTTAGCAAATGTTCATAAATGTGTTATTTTAATTCCAACTGTTTCAGAGTTGTTACAGTGTAACTCCGTACGGAAAAAGTCCTGTTTTTTCAGTCTGGAAATCTGGTAACCCTAGGGCATATGCATATAGCCCTCCCTAATTTTCAACTGATAGACTGGAAGGCAACAAGACAAAAGCAGTCATTACCAACTCCCTGGCTACTCTTGGTTGGCGAAATAGTGGGATTTGACATCACTCTTATAATGCACACACGGCTCAAAAACGCAGAGCATAGTTTCATGGCAAATGGCCATGAACCCTGATACTCCGAATTCACAGTCTGAGCACGTTAACCATTAGGCCACACCCGGCCTACTTATAAGTGGAAAGTGGAGAAAACAAATTTCTGTTGTAGTGTAGGACTGGTCCAAACGTTAGTTCCTCTTTAGTTAATGATTTAAGCTAAATTTTTAATGTTTTAATTTAGATGATTGCAAGAGGGGGAAAGATGTTACGATCTGGAAAAGTAGTGTAGTGAGTAGAAGACGAGTACAGTATAAGTACGAGTAAAGTGAAGCAGTGAATCAATGATTAATGAATGAGAAGGTATTGAGTAACGAGTGAGTGATTCAGTCAAGTGTCGGAAAAGTCGATCGATTGGCAAGATCTTGTTAGTTTTGTATTTGTAATTCGGTGCGTGTACCATTAGTCTTGGAATTTCTTAAGTTAAAGTGAATGTAAAAAACGTTATAGAAGAAATATATTATCGTTACATGACCAGACATGACATTATTTTTAATAAACTATTATCGTTACATGACCAGACATGACATTATTTTTAATAAACTATTATCGTTACATGACCACACGTGACATTATTTTTACCAAATAACTCAAAAGAACTGTCCAACGAGGGAGTTGCTCAAGTAAGTCACTCAATTTTACCTATGTCCAGTGCACGTGGTACTTGAATTTACTGATTGGCCGTGTTTTCTTGGAAGAAAGATAATTCATAACTTTGTGAGATAGATAAACGTTTATTTTATTTTTTTCAGCGAATCAAATAATGGCTGCCACGCCCTTTGCGCTCTTGATCGCAATGGAAGGTGGAGTTCTGCAGAGAACCTGGCTTTGTGTGATATGTTAACATGTTTTGGTACATAAATCCAGGTTTGCCCCAGTAAGCAAGGCATTTGTAGGATTGGCTTAACTTTCAGTAACTTGTGTAGTTTTAACTTTCACTATAGCGTTCTTTTAATTAGTTTGTTTGTTTTTGAATTTCGCGCAAAGCTACACAAGGGCTATCTGCGCTAGCCGTCCCTAATTTAGCAGTGTAAGACTAGAGGGAAGGCAGCTAGTCATCAACATCCACAGCCAACTCTTGGGCTACTCTTTTAACAACAAATAGTGGGATTGACCGTCACATTATAACGCCTCCATGGCTGAAAGGGCGAGCATCTTTGGTGGGACGGGGATTCGAACCCACGACCCTCAGAATGCGAGTCGGGCGCCCTAAACACCTGGCCATGCCGGGCCCTTTCAATTAATGAAATTTATTTTGGTACAATTTTAACTTACAGTAACCCTTAACATTTGACAGAGACAGTATTCGCTTTTACTTGAACGTATAGTTTCAGTTTTAAGATTGTTATGGATTTTAACGTAACTTGCCTAATTTTTTTGTGGCTTGACATTTTGTGTAGATTACAAGTTATTGAGTTGGTGAAAGAGAGTTTTTTTTTCACTCTTTTCTTACCAGATAAACAAATTCACTATAAACTGTTGTCCTTGTGTTTTATATTGGCTTTTATGTGAAATAAATATGTTTGTCTTGTGATAGTAGACTGTCGCTTTCTGTGTGTGACTATATATTCTTGAACCTCCTATTAGCGGATCTTAACTAACTACTTGTATAGTAGACTGTCGCTTTCTGTGTGTGACTATATATTCTTGAACCTCCTATTAGCGGATCTTAACTAACTACTTGTGATAGTAGACTGTCGCTTTCTGTGTGTGACTATATATTCTTGAACCTCCTATTAGCGGATCTTAACTAACTACTCTGAGGGCAATCCGCGAGCTAGAAAATGACATATTATCTAATGCGAGTATTTTATCATGAATTTTAAATTGGCCCTTAGTTCTATGCTGGTTTCGATAGCATTACATTTTCCTATTGCTTTGTAGAATATAGGAGACAGATAACGGAATTTTGTTAGGGAAATAAACATGATGGACACATTACAGTAAGGGTGCGAGTAGTTTTAAACATTTCATTCACCCCTAACGCTTTTTGAGCTACGTAAATGTAAAACCTTCAAAATGATTTAATCATATTTTATTGCGAGGTTTCAGAAGTAGATCATTTGAAATGAAAGCAGATTAGAAAAGCAAATGGCGTGTTTCGGTTTGGGCGTAAAGGTTACAGACATCAAAGAGTCCCATACCGTACACTTGAACGCATGATATGGTGTAGGCGTTACCGTGGAAATAGTTGCTACGAAATATGATTTTAAACACAAGTCTTGGTCTTGTTGATACGCTATACGAGATATTTCATGCTGGTTAACTAATAATTAGCTACGGTCCAAAGAGGTTAAATGCAACAAAAATATGAACAGGTACACACTAGCAAAATGTCATCATTTTAATGGTAATGACCGCAAGGGGGCAGAGGCCACAGAGGGGCGAAAGCAACTAAAATTACACGAGTTAGGTTTTAGTTCTATCACTGGCAAAGACCAGGGGAAAAGCGTTTGGGTGACTTTGGCAATATATAAGCCTAATCGTTCAGGTGTCAGCTGTGTATCTAAAACAAATCAAAATAGTGCGCGTTACAATAATAAAAATAGAATAAATTTTTTCATTTCAAAATTTCTTGCTTTATGACTGAAAATTAGATTTAGGTCTCATTTTTGGATTAAAAGGTTGTTTAAAAATTTCAGTCTTCGCCGCCTGTTTTAACCACTCGTACCACTATACAATAGTATGTTGTCTGTCAGTCAGTCAGTAGTCACTAAAATGAAGTCACATAAGGGACGCTTTACGTGGAAATTTATACTGTAGTGACGTCAGTAAAACGTGAGCATGCCATGAATCACGAGAAGATTTATACACTTTGTACGCTACAACACAGCATGACATGAACTTCAAAAGCAAGAAATGAAAATATTTGTTACTCTTAATTTAGGGTTTATTTACTCTTTAAACAGAACACTTATGGGAACCCTGCGGAAGTACATCTAGTATATATGTGCAAAATACCCTCTAAACAATAGGCCTAAGCTATAGCCGATGGCGTACCTTAATTAATTAAAGTAGTAACTATATAATATTTGGTGAAACCTAATTAGTCACTACAGTCCACTAACGATCTTAAATATTTAAAATACGTATTAAAGATTATATGAAAATACAAGCAAAAGTATTTATGGATCGTTAGATTTTGTGTGATCATTTGACTAAATATTTTCCTTGACGCTGAACACAAAATTAATTCGTCAGATGACAAGGTACTAATTGCATATCTGCTAGAACAAATTTCATTGTTGTAGCCGATGTTTTAAATATAGAAGTTTGTATTGTCGTCTAACCAGAATACAGTTTAACGTAACATGATGGGTGTGGCCTTAATGTCTGGAACTTTCTCTCCAAACTTTAAGAAACAATTTGAGACATACAAAAAATGCTAGTTAGGTAGTGTGTTGGCGAGTTTGTTAGTAATTTAACGAGTAATCGGTGCATGATTTAGCTGGTTTGTTTGTTATTGTCAACTAGTTAGTTCAAAGCTGTGGATAGTGAGTTTGTGTTTTAACGAAGATATAATAGTCAGAGATATAAGTTTATTTGAAAAGTTAGGCTTATCGGTGAACATTGGTTACGCTAATCGTGGAATTTGAAGTAACAAAAAATTCTTTTTAGTGTTTAGTGGACTGTTCTTTCCATTACTCTTAATACTGAATAATCAACAAGAACATTTGCAAACAAAAGAAAGCATTACGACAGCACGAAAACCGAATTCCTACACAAGCACTTCTTAGTCAAGTTCTATTATAAACTGGGACAACACATTTGAACAAGATATAAACATCACAAATTTTAAAATAAAGATTAAAATTTTCACAAAGCTACAGAAGACCTAATTCTTCTGAACTCAGTAAGTATTTTTGTTTTGATAAAACTTGTTTTCTAATTATTTTACTCATGAATGGCGGATATTTAAATCAACAACAATAAAGTAACTGTGAAATTACTTTGGAGTACATTTTAACCAGCAAAAGATAAAAGCATTCTTTGAAACTTTATTTTTGAATCGACAAACATATCTACTTTTCAATAAAAAACTAATCCAAGAGCCTTAAATACCTGTGACTGAAACTCCACAACTGGAAAATCTACGTACAAGCTTAACAAGTTAACTTCAGATCCATTATATGTGATTACCGTTAAGAATTTGACTGTACTCGTTCTTATATGTCTAATTACGGTGCGTAAGAATGGTTAATGCGGCATCCAGGAGACTTTTATGCGGGTTAAATAAGCTTTAATAATTTCAGTTAAAATGTTTTCCGGTGGTTAATCCAGATCGACATACCACGTACTCTGAAAACTGACATCTGACAGCATACATGCCACCTTTGGGGTGACATATGGTGTTACAGACATTTTTGGAGCCTCCACCACCTACTTAAAATGATTTAGTGATTACGACGAGAGGTAAGGGGAACCGGAAATTTCGTTTAAAAATGTTTTAAAATAAATAATTTATTAACAACAATATAATAAGGTCGTATATATATTAAATAAAATTATAAATATTAAATGAAATTATAAATATTAAATGAAATTATAAATATTAAATGAAATTATAAATATTAAATGAAATTATAAATATTAAATATTAAAATCAATAATAGTAATAAACTAAAATACTTAGAATACTATAAATGAAATATTAGCATAGGTTAATTAAAAAGGAATAATTATATGACGAAAGATTTATTTCAACGGAAGATAAATATCTGAGCGACAATTATACATAAGCTGATTTGTCGGTCCGCTTTAGAACACTGCCTATACCAAATATTGTGGTACTGTAAAAAGAGTACCTAACCCAATATTTGGGGAAGAATGTTACCCTAACTTGGGAATTGTCCAGCCAAGTCTTGTTAATTATTGAAAGGAAAACTATTCCATAAATTTACGTGCACGGATAGTGACTATATTAGTTAAGATATTCCTCGAACTTAATCTCGTTAAAAATCCATAACAACACAGATATCCGTTAAGATATTCCTCGAACTTAATCTCGTTAAAATTCCAGAACAACACAGATATCCGTTAAGATATTCCTCGAACTTAATCTAGTTAAAAATCCATAACAACACAGATACACGTTCTAACTTTCCGAAATTAGACATTTCTAATACACAAGAAGCTAAAACTAATATTCAATTTTAATATCGGGGTTTAGTGACAAACAGTTGCGTTAAAAGTAGGAAAGAAACAAACATAGTGCTTAACAAAAATGCACATTTTCCAGAACTTGGTATTCAAAGACTTTAGTATTGAATCTATTATGCAAAATTAGTTCTGCCAAACAAATTAATTTCTAAGGATTTACCCAAATAACTCATAGCCGTCGTCACAGCTGTAAGTGGCAAAAGATCCAGGAATCCTGTCTTCCTGAGATAAGGAAACCTTGGAATATAGAGGTACTGCAGGATGAGGACATCGTTTCGCTGTAACGAAAAATGAATGCAGTTTTTAATATTTAGAACCATAGAATACAATACTTGAAACGTTAGAACCATAAAATACAATACTTGAAACGTTAGAACCATAGAATACAATACTTGAAACGTGCATACTTAGATTTTATTTTTGTTTTAGGTATTAGAATTTTCGTGCAAAGCTATGCAAGGGATATTTGCGCATAGCTATTCCTAATTTTGAATTAATAGGCTAGAGGAAAGACAACTATTCAAAAACACCGAAATACTGGTTATACAAGACATCTTAACCGTAATTCTGGTTATACAGGATATCTTAACCGAAATTCTGGTTTTACAAAATATCTTATCCTAAAATATTGGTTGCATAGGATATCTTAACCTAAAGTACTGGTTGTACAGAATATTTTTTCTTAAAATACTGGTTGTACGAAATATCTTAATCGAATTAATGTTGATCTTATATATTGGCTGTACAGAATATTTTAACCGAAATAGTAGTTGTGAAGGGTATTTAAAACGAAATACTGGTAGTATAAAATATCTTAACCGAATTATTGGTTATATGATATATTTTAACCGAATTACTGGCTGCACGGGATATGTTAACCTAAAATATTGGCTGTACAGAATATTTTAACCGAAAGACTAGTCATGCGGGATATCTGAACCAAAATACTGATTGCACAGGACATCTTAACAGATAAATGTCAATATCTTTAATTCCAATTACTAGAGTTCCAAGTGAAAAAAAAAAAGCTGTTTTGTAAATCCTTAAAAATGGTATTGAAAACTTTGCCATTCTGTTGTTATTAAACAGTGGTTACACACTGGACAACTGTATGTTATAACCCTGTGATATATATTGTTTTATATATTTCTGACGTTGAAGGTTTTCGAATACCAGGAAACTATAGTATCCAGCAGAAATGCAGATGATGTAACCTTAACTCCAACTAGTGAGGAATCTATTATAGAAAGTATGAGATTATTGGAACAATCCTGTAAAGCCAGAGCAGCAAAAATTAATAACAACAAGTCAAATACCTTTTAGTTAGGCAAATGGAGAGGAAGAACAGATACACCAGGAAATATAAATTGGACTAAATCCCGTAAAAATTTTAGGTATTTGGTTTAATCCATATGATTTAACCAGATATAACTGGAGCGAGCATCAGAATTTTAGAAGTTACAGAGATAATTAATAAATGGGTAGAAATGGAAATATCATTATTGGCAAAAGCTTAAATAATAAAACAAGTTATTTATCCTAAATTAGCTTATATTGGTCGAGTTCTACCTTCGAACAGAGAGGAAATTTTAAAAAACAGAAAGTTTAGTCTTTAAGTTTATATGAAATAATAAATCTGAACGATTGACAAGAGATATAAGTTTATCAAAAGGATTAGGAGGACATAGTCTTCCAAATTTTAAAAATAACTTAATAGTCTTGAGTACGAATTTAACATGTAAGATATTATAATCAGAACATAATTGTGCTCTCTTTAATCAGGAAACAAAATAAAATATTTTAGTAAATCATACAAACATCAAACCCTTAAGTTATTTAATCCGCCATTTTATTTACAATTCTTTACGGAACCATTAGTTTAAAAAATGTAAAGAATATAATGAAATATAGTTTTATACAATGAAAATACAAGAGGTTTATGATATACTAACACCGACAGTAACACCCAAACTACACGAACAACACCAACAAGTGAACTGGATACAGACATGGAAAAATTTAAGTAATAAAAAATTATAAAGTAAAAGAAGAGATATAAACAGCTCACAATATATTAAATAATAGAGAAAGATTACACCGATTTAAATTAACTAAGACAGATAAGTGTCCATATTGTCCGAACATAGAGACAGTGAAACATCTCTTATTTGACTGTCCAAATGTTCAATTTTACTGGAGAAAAGTTTTAATTATCTCTAAGGTCAGACCTCTCAGTTACACAACTGTCTTATTCCATAATACGTTCCTAGAAAACATATCTCATTTGTGAGTGAATTAAAATATCAGATTTGGACATCCAGATGTAGAACAGTGTAATACAACTTGAGAGAAAGTGTACCAGTAGTAATGAGAAGTATAAGATCAAACATAAGAATAATAGTGAGTTACGATCACAGACGGCTCGTGGAGGTAGAATTCAATAACAGATGGATACCGGATGAATCATGTTTGTTCACCAATCTTCTGGATTTTAAGTTCTGATAGGTTCACTATGTCCAACAAACATCGTGTTATATTTTAAGTGACTAGAGAGCTGCGACGGACCAACAAAAGTTGGAGGTGTTAACGTGATAGGATGTGATGGTTGTAATTTTGTTTTTATTAGGCGTCAGACTGCGAGAGTAAGTATAAATTTTCTTATTTATCTGTTCGTTCTACCTTTCTTCCAGTACTATCAATTAAATTTAACTGTTCCAATGAGGGTCGAGATAGGTGAATCTTTACCTACTATCCACACCTTTAAACAACGTTTAGTTAAATTTAAAGAAGTGTTTTATATGTTTAATCTAGTTTTACTTTACAGGTTTAATGTTAAAGGGCGGGACAGGTGAATTTTTACTTTGTCTTTATACCCTTATTCGATGTTTAAGTATACCGGTGTATAGAGTAACAATTTTAAGGTGCTAGTTATTATAGCTGGAAAGTTATAAAAGTAGAATTAAGTATATGTTTTTGCCACAAAAATACGATGACAGTCTATATTGTCGACAACGTCAATATATAGAAGAAATTTTAAAATTTATTGTGAGACCGGTTACACTGGTAATACATTATTAACAACAAGGAAGGTTTTTATAATAAAAACTGTTTTAGTTTACAAGCAAGAACAACACAGCTTACAAACCGGAAGTACTTCTCCCTGGCGGTTTCTCCCAGTATTACAAAAACCGTCTGATGATTGAGGCGTTCCTTTTATTTCAGCCAATAAGAATATAATGACTAGCTATTTTCTGGTTAATATATAAACGGTAAAAGTTACCTAAAGCTTATCTGGATTATCTTCTTAAGTCCATATAATAGGATAATTATTCTACTTGCTCCCGTAAAACAAAAAACACCAATAATCAAATATTAACAGTTAGAACTGAAATGTTAACTGATGTTTTGCTCGGTTTTGTTTCATGTTAGTGAGGAAACAAGTTAGTAGCTAAACCATGGACAAATATTGAAGCCAAAATAACGTGAAAAATTATTCTGTTATCAGTTATTTTTAAAGTACAATATCAGGTAAGGTAAAGTAAATTTAATTGAATAACTCAGCAGAAAATACACGCTCCGTATGACACAGCAAATTTGAGGTCATCGCTTGGAATTTAGGGTAGTGTCACAAGGACATTGGTAATATCTGTAGATAGAGGTGTTCGTTTTATAAAGTTTCTTTATGCAACAATAGCTATTTTTGATAAATATTCATATTTACGTAAATCCATCCTAACGTATTTTAATCCTTGATCCAACAGCAAATTCCTGTCAAAGAGAAAAACATTCAATTAATCACTTAAATGTCCTAACAAGTTATTCATAATTCTCCTGGATCAAAGTAGGAAAAAAGTACCTCAAAATTCGTCCTTTACGGATCATTTCTGGCATTTCTTATGTTTAATACAGGTTTTAACCACATCGTAAAACTTGTTTTCCAATTCAAATAACTATATCACGGACTTTTATCTACCTTATTAAACTTACAAGATTTGTGTCACAATAAATCCTTTTTAGGCTTAGCACTTTAATTGTATATTGCCTTCAGATAAATAAAAATTAATAATAATGTATTACAAAAAATCGTAGTGAAATGAAACAAAAATGTATATCTTTGCTAGGACAGCCAACTGCAAGGTTTTCAGAAAAGGAACAGTAATTGGTGATATTAGTGGATTGATCTAATTAACATCCTTCTTGTTATGTTAGTGTATTGAAATTGGATTGTTGAACCAATGCAGAAATATGTCACAATGTATTTGTACTTTTTGTTTAAAGTTACGTTTTAAAATATATAAAGAAACTTTCCTTTAGGTCTTTTTACAAATTTCACATGCATATCACGTCATCATCTCATTGGGAAAAAATATCAGGAAAAGCACACGTCTCTTGAAAGCAACTAATGGTAAACTCGTTTAATAAATGTTACTGACATTGTCTGAGGAATGAAGTAGACTGAAAAATTTATTTAATTACTAAACAGTTTAGTTGATAACCTTTAGAAAACTGACGAAGCGTCATACTAGCACGACTATTTTAACATCAGATTTCGTTAGTTGTCCGTTTCTTGTTGATATCACTCGGATGTACTGGGTATTGTTATTCATCATGATCCTATGAAATTTTCTTTAAACGAACGAATTGGTGGATCATGCTATTATACTGAATATTCCAATACTATAATGTTATGGAAGCTTGTATGAACTTCTTGTTGTTTGAAAATGTCTAGGTACAGTGAAAGTTGAGAACCTGTTGCTTTATAGAATGTTCTGAAACAAATGGGTTACTAAAGACCAATAGACGTCAGCACTGTTCTTAAGTAACATACTCTATTAAATATTAGTTTTGTCCTGACCCCAAGGCTTTAATTCATAAGTCAAATCCAGTTTTGAATCTCAAAATTTAGGTTATGTTCTGTATATTGGAGTTAAGCACCAAAATGTACCTATTTTCAAGCTTGATAAGAATGTGATATCCTCTTGTGGGATTGTGTAATAGTAGCCAGTGCTAATTATCGACCACAACTACTAAAATGGTTAAACGATGGCTTTACTTAGTGAAAACAAAAGAAAGAAATGGTTACCAAACTTGAAACGTTCGCCTATTTGCTTATCCATCTAAAACCAATCTTTGTTTGGTTCACGTAAGTACCTCTACCAATTGTCATCAAAATTGGTCCAACCAGTTACTCCCAACAACTTGTGACGTCAAGATTCCAGATATACAGACAAACAGACGGACAACTCTGTTATATGTGTATATACATATGTTCACAACGTTAAAACGAAATTTCAAGTGAATAAGTATATTAAGACTTGCTTATACACTGATGCCGTCTAGTGTCAAACATGTAATTAGAAATTCGTCGTGTTCTTCTAATTCTTCTACGTTAACATTGCAAACTTGTTAACCTTGGATTAATCTTGATCTGGTAGTGTTGTTTCAGTACTTGATATCATGATTAATAGTTAGTTCCTTTAGAAAAAAATAGGTGCTTATATTATCTTACATATCGTATATTAATTTAAACTGGTTTCCATATACGGTAAACAAGTTGTCGAGATTTATTCATCCACACATGCAGGCACCAGATATAGTTTTACGATCTTAAAAGAACTGAGACACCTTGATCAAACTTCATTTAGCTGAAACTTGGTAGATATAATACTTGTTTCTGGTTAATCCCTTATGTCTTGATGACACTTTAAAATATCGCAAGTATTTTAGAAAGTAGTTTCACAATCATTAATAGTGCTTTGAGAGCACAACAGGTAAATAAATAGAATCTGTTGGATTGTTCAGATGGCGTTATTAACCACTGCAGAAAGTTATTAGGATAAGGTAACACCAGAAGATTGTTTGATCTTAGAGTAGAGGTTCCAATAAATCTGTAGCATAAGATAAATGCTAGAGAACTAGTTTCTGGAGCTACGTTGAGGCCTTCCTTCTGCCTTTTTATAAACATTATTCTTCTCTTTGATTATAACTCAGCTCTACCGATCTGGTTAAATTAGTTACCTTTAGTCAAACTAATATGAGCAAAAACAGAACAACGCTGTAGACCAGGAGTTCTTAACATTTGAGCTTGAAGTCTTACAAGACTTTTTGAGGACCTCCACCTAATGAATTAATATAAAATGTAAATAATAACTATTCTGATGTACTTTACTCTTCTTGAAATTTGTTATTTGAAAAAAAATCTCAAGCATAAAAAACGTTGTATGCTCATATTCATTACAATAATTAAACTTCTCGTTAAAAATGTTGGTTTATTTGGTGTCAGGGAAGTTTTAAAGAGGATAGTTTTAGAAGTAAGCAGTACATACTATATATATATCACTGGCAGGTGAGACAGCGAGTATGTATTGGCGAAAATGGAGATACAAGGGGCAGAAAGAAAGAGAGTCTCTCTCATCAAACTGGAAAGTCTCCTGCCAGGGTGGCCATGGATCACGGAGGAACATAGGATTGAGCAGGATTAATGGATGAGATGCCAATAGCAACTCGTCGTTCTGCCACCCTACCAGAAACTAATAAATTATATTGAAGAGTTGAGGCTGCCTAACCCCCCCCCCTCCCCCGTGCCCACGATGTCGATGACATCTCACCCATTTATTGTTTGACAGTTCATAGGGGAGAGGCTTTGGCTACAAACATGGAGCTTTATGAGTGATGCAAAGTCAATTATGTCCCCAACTATAAAGGGTGCAGCATAAAAACACCTGTATCATTTCCCGGATCAGGTCACATTATATGGTGAGAGCCAGTCCATTCATTGCATGTTCTGCCCTTGAACATTGTGTCGGAGTCGAAACAATTTCTGCAGTGATGTCATCAAACCATGCAGTAGGTGATCCCACTAACGGACAAAATTAACACCTCAGGAGCTCTGGGAAGAGCAATTGAAGGACCCAGATCTAGCGTGGGTGCTCCTTGACAAACTGCAAGGTAAAGCTCAGCCAACTCAGACAGAGGAGCATACCACAGATGCAGGTAATAACCTGTGATACTTGTACGACCAATTATTAGTGCAGGAAGGTGTGTTGCTATCAACCTATGAGCCGTTGTTCTCAGACTTTACTGCAGCTAATGATCTCAAGAGCTCTAAGGTAATTTCTAGACTTTGTATAATACAAAGACTAGAGAGCACCAAGATCTTTCTGGACATATTTGCCACCCTGAGAAAATTTCAACCAAAACAGGGTAAACTCCAGCATATAATTGTTTATTTTCCTTTAGAGAAAATATCCCTGGAATGGAAGAGGTTATCAATATATACTAATGGCTGTCAATTGTTTTACAAAGTCAGCCAAGACTTCTACGTTGGCATAGTCTGTAGCTGATGTGTTAGTGAAGCACTGGATAACACAGTTTAGAGCACCTGAAGAGATCCAAATGGATTGTAGGGCTAATTTTAACACCCAAATCTTCTCTAAGTTGTGTTAAGTGTTTGGTATGTTGAAGATCACTTCACCTTATAAACCCAAATATGATAGTTTGGTAGAATGAATAATTAAGGTTGTAAGGTATGTGACTGCCAACTTTGTTTATCCTAATCGAATCATGAAGGCACACAGACCAACTGAACAAAAATCAACAGGTTGTTTTCCGAACATGCTTATGGAAATATTACTCTCTGTAGATGCGATTCACAGTCCTGCTCTCCAAGAGCAAATGTTCCACACTGTTTGCAAGAATATGTAGAGTGTTGACATTCTGGATGACACATATGAGTTTGCGTGCCAACTTCTAGGAAAAGGTACTAAAGAACAGGAAATGTGCTACAGTAAAAGAGTGAAGAATGGATGTATCAGCAAGAAGACTGGACATGGCTTTGGAAGCAGATCACTTCTGTCTGGACAGTGCTTTTTTGTAATACAAGGAATTGGTCCCTTAATATAGGTGTAACAGCGGTCGAGAGATTCACAAAATCATGTAATACAAATCAGTCAGCTGCATACATGTATTACCGATGATTGTCTTGTGCAATGGCTTGACCAGGAATCAGAGGGAGAGACTGACGAGTCAGAGAAGGATGAGAATATTGTTTTATTTCCTGTGCTCAGAGGTTGAGGAGAAAAGAGCCGAAAGTATGTATCTGGTTGTTCATGATGAGTCAAATGATGATGCACCAGATCAAAAGACAAGAGACAGCTGCAACTGTTGGCTGAACTGCTGCCTCCAGCCCCTTGATTGATATGATTAAGATTAAACCCGATCATATAAAGCTAAACAGTCACTGATTGTATGATCACTGGCTGAAAGGAAGTAGCAATCCCTGCTTTCTGAGCTTTCATGTAATATTGTCTAACAAATTGTATGGACTTCACTTTATATATCACTTGATTATCATGAGTTAGAATGGCCAGACTGAATATATGTAGTACCTATAACATCAATAGTTTGCAGAACTGATTATAGTTGCTATAAGTTCGAAAACTTGCTTGAAAGAGCATTGCATCCCTTGTATTCTGAGCACTAGAGCAGAATTTTTTGAGAAATGTCTGTAAGATATGTGATAGCTGCTTAATCATCTTAAGCTGGAATGGTTGTTCACGACATTGAAAGGGTTTAGCAACCCTTGCTTTCCAAGCTCTCAAACAGTTACAGAACAAGAAATATCCCCAGAACATCAGATGATAGCCGATTGATTATCATAAGCTAGGATGGTCATGTGCTTGAAAAAACAATAACTGAATAGGCATTGCAACCCTTGCTTTCTTAGGTCCTGTGAGATTTTCTGGAGCAAAACCTTGCCCTATGTTTCAAGAGGATTACTTGCTTGATCTAGCTAAGTGGTGGATGTTTTACAAAGTATGTCACACAATTCTTGATAGTTTATTTTCATTATACTTAATTGGATATATAACTTATCTATGTGCAGTGAGGTAGTTGTGTTATCTCTAAGTGCATATTGTTGTAGTATCAGCACAAATGTTATATCTGGCTGATCATAGTTCTAGCTGAAAAATTTCAGTTGAGCTAAATTCTCCCAGTGATTATTTATTTTTTGGTGCCTGAAAACAAAAACATGTCAGTTTGATGGCAGCAAACTACAGACTACAGTTATTTAAATGTAATTGTAACGATGGTTACCGAAGTACCTTCCACATGAATCAGTGGCAATCATAGCAATATACATGTAGAACTAAATAATGTATGTGTGTGGCCTTAGACACGTAAATGAATATAAAGTCATTTTGAGTATAATATAATACAAATGGATCAAGTACAGAAAGTACATAAGTGTTAAACAACATGTGAATGGAAATAAAGACATTGATGTGAATATTAATACTTTGTGATATGAATTAACTGTGACTTCTGACCTGCAAAGCATTATTGGAAGATACAGTTCACCTATTATTTTCATTAACACTGGAGAGAGAATGTTTGAATTTTCACAATGAATATTTATGGAAATATAAGAATAACAAAGAAACTCAATACGTTAAAGAGAAAACAGTTTTTACCTGGTGTTTATTGATAAGAGTAGTGCAAGATATTTGGATTGGATCAAATCAAAAGATTTGTGATAGGTGAAATTATCATAACACGTGAAATTCAAAGAAAGTAGCTTGAATACCATTGATTTATTCGGTTATGATAGAATATTTTAAAACGCGCAGATTGAAACATTTTATAAGCACACGAGGTACAGTCAAAGATACATTAAAACGCAGGCTTTGAGTGTGCTATTAGGTGGCAGACAGTAACGTCCACCTGATGAAACTTTGTAATTGCACTTAGATAGTATCAACACGGTATCTGGAAAAAGTTTCGCAAGGGAAAGATTACGTAAGTGCTAGCTGATTCTCAAAGTCAAACGTTAGTGGTTAGTGTCTGCTAATCTGTGTGTGGGAACCAGTTTCTGCTGTCTAAAACCCCATTTGTTTCTTACTGGAACCTGAAGTTCTGTTTTTGTAACAATCATATGCTAATGGAAGGAATGGGACTAGGTTGTATGGTAATCTGTATTAGTTGTTTCCACGGAATGGTAGCAGTGGGCAACATAGCCAAGTTTACATACCGTGAAGTCTTATGAATCAAGCCATTCAAGGGTGTTAAGCCTGCAGAAATGTCTTGACCAAGGTGGTCATTTAATTACTCTGTGTTTGAAATTTAATTTTGGAACAGAGCATGTTTGTGAATGGATAATTACAGTATATTAGAACCTACTCGCTTAGCTGAACTTCTGGTCAATCTGAATTTGTTTGACCTTATATTTTCAATATTAACCTTTGTTATTTACGATCAATTTTTTTACCCTGCTGACTATCTTGTTTTTTAACTAACCAGTTATACTTCACTTATGTACCTGAGCTTTCAAGTTGACTCATACCACTGCAAAATGGGAGGACATTGTGGAGACCATTAGATGCAGGACATCTTGTTCGGTGATCATGAGGATCTACAAGAAATTTGGAGCTAGCCTAGCTCTTGGATTGGCAGAACTGATGGCAGACAATACATTGTTGGGCAACACATCAGAAGCTGCCAACCATGAACCCTGCTGCCACAGTTCTACTTTGGTTGAGCCTAGCATTCAGGTGACTCAACTTTAAGTCTCATCCAATGGGCAACTCTTGTAACAGTTATTAAAGAGGAGGCAGCAGAGCCATAAATTTGACAACAATTCCAACTAGTAAGGTTTTCCATTGGGGAATATTCCACAATAAAATGGCATAGACATCAAATAACCACATAACTCCACTGGGACCACTACATACTAAAACCTAAAAATATCTTTCCAAAGGTAAGTGTCTTCCCAAGAATTAACCAAGTGTCTGGTACGTTTCACCAAGCTGGAACCAGTGAAACAATGACTGGCAACTAGCAATGACCTCTCCACCTATAGCAAGTGAATGAAAGTACCTCAATATCTACTACCCTCCACCTGTAGCAAGGGTATTTCAACATCTACTACACTCCGCCTGTAGCAAAGGTCTTGACAGTGAATGAATGTACTTCAACATCTACTACACTCCGCCTGTAGCAAAGGTCTTGACAGTGAATGAATGTACTTCAACATCTACTACACTCCGCCTGTAGCAAAGGTCTTGACAGTGAATGAATGTACTTCAACATCTACTACACTCCACCTGTAGCAAGGGTCTTG